ATCGTACCCCAAATGCGTGCATCGATGCCCATGATGTCAATCACCTAATTCTCTGTTCCTTACTCGATTATTTACAGACCGCCGTCATACAACAAACAAACAAACAAATCCTCGAGGAAATAATAACAGTTAATATATTCCGTTATCTCTCTTTCTGTGAAGTTAGAAACAATACACGCCTATTATGTCCATGAGTTGCCACTCTGGTGTTCAGTGCAGTCTCACCTTGTTCCCATTCAGGAAACCAAACGGAGCATGTTATTCCGTACATCCGAAAATGATCACAGGATATTGATTTTGACATTCTGAATAAATCACCATAGTGTTAGGATCGAATGATTGCACTTCTAAAGGAGACACGCTTCATTTGACGCTGTGAACAAATCACTTGAGGCAAATGGTATAAAATATACATCTACCTAAGGCATTTTGTGCCCGGGGTATTAAATATTTACACGGGTAACTTGTTCAAGTCTCTTTACAACACCGCTTTGTTTTTTCTTTATCTTTTGAAGTTGTTGGTATTTTAGATCTGTTACAGAAAGACTTATCATGATTGCTATTTTGCAATGTAGGTTCTCTTTCAAAATAATGTCCAATGATCCATTTTTACTTTTTATTTGTATTTCAACCCCGTAATGTTAACTTTTCATTTGGTTGATCATGATCCATTGCAACGGAACATTAGTAAGTGGGTATGGGTTTACGCCACTTTTAGCAATATTCCAGAAGGTACGGTGGGGGGCTCCAGAAATGGGCTTTCCATATTGTACCCATGTGCGGAATCGAAGCCGGGCCTTCGGCGAACGCTTTAACCACTAGGCTAACCCCCCCCCCCCCCCCACCCACACACACACACACACACCGACACAAACACAGAACATTAACTTGTAACGTTTCTTAGGGGAATAAGACGGTTGAACGCCAATTTGAACAGTGTTTCAGTTCCATCACGACGTGTCCGCTTGATTTGGGAGGGCAGCGTGAAGTGATGCAAATGTTTAAGAGCCCTTAAGTTGCACAGACTGGTCCGGGTTCCACAAACTGATCTTAGTGCGCCATGACTTTCGCATGTCAATGGTAAACTTTCGATCGTTTTAACACTAATATCGGAAACGAAACTCCCAATACATGAACTTAAGTCTTAGCACCCTCTTAGTATTTGTTCTTGTATTACAGTAAACTACCTTTATAACGAGCACGCTTATAACGAACTGACCGATATAACGAACTTATTTTTTAGTCCCGGCCATTTGTTGCATATATGCTGTATATATGCTTATAACGAACTACGGTTATTACGAACTAAAATGAGTGGTCCCTTTGAGTTCGTTATAACCGTAGTTTACTGTACTCACAAAGGTTTAATATTCGTGACGAGACCCGAAAAAGAAATCTTCAAAACTATATTCGTACCCCCTTTCTCTTTTCAGGTCAGTATTGGGTGCAAATCATTGTAAGTGTTACAGAATTCGTGGGTGTAGTTGAGCTGGGACGACGATACATATATCGATAGTAAGGTTACCATTATCAAAGACAGTGAACAGAAGCATGTGCCTCGATAGGTGTATCGCATCGAGAGGTCATGTATCGAAACGAAACGATACACGGTTATGCATGGGTGTCCCGTGCAAAAGATGAATGGCAAAATATGTACAAGAGGTCCTAAGTCATTTTTCATCAATAAACTCAAATCTACCACGCTTCTTTTCGCATTCAGCGCAACACCCGTGTTTGGCAATAGCGCCAAGGATCCCAGCGCCTTACGTCAGCTCGTGTTTCTTCTCGCCTGGCTGAGAGTGAGGTCAGGGAGAACTATAGTCACCTGACACAAACTAACACATCGTAAATCTCCAGCGAAACCTGTTATGTTAGTCTGTCTTACAGACCCCGATACAAATATATATCAAATACAGCCCATGCAAGTCTATAATGTTTGGCAAGTCTAGATTACTGAAAATGAAGAGAGTCATTGGGCTCCCTTTTATTATATTTTTATTAAGATAACTGAACAACTTTTTTCTGTACGATATGTTCATTTCAGAGATCAGATGTTAGTCTACTGTTATGTCTGACCGTACCATTTAAAGTCGCATCTGGATTAACAAGTTTCCGGATTAACGAATTAAATCCATGTCATTTGTAGGTGGGCGTTATTTAGCAGGGATCCGTACTCATGTACTAAGGGGTTGTCGGGTTTCTAAATATTGTTCACTGAACATGATGGGAGTTCTGAACAGAACAAGTGTTGTGGTTCCCCCAAATTGTTTGGTTCATCCTGTCCGAGATGTATGTCAGCTGTATGTGTTGTTGAAGCAGTGACACAGACACTAATCTAACAGATAGAGGAGCATCTGCCGGGGAGCCGCCGCGTCAATCTACAAGACATTAAAAGAAGGTACTTGTTGCACTGTCTGGCGCTCGGCATTGTGGGGATAAAACAAGGACAGGTCGGCTCGGAGTCGGTATACTGTGTCTGAGTGGGGTATCCATGTTCAACTGCGGCATGGTGCATCAGTGGGCTTGCACTTTAAAGTCCGGACTAGCACAAGCAGCCACTCTCTCTCTCTCTCTCTCTCTCTCTCTCTCTCTCTCTCTCTCTCTCTCTCTCTCTCTCTCTCTCTCTCTCTCTCTCTCTCTCTCACACACACTCACACACACACACGCACACGCGTGCATGCACCTCGCGATAAGAGCAATAATCTTGAACGCGACGTTCAACCCCATTTTACCTCACCTCCAACAAACAACACCCTTTACCCCCGAACAAATATTAAATGATTCCTTGTTACTACTGCTGTCATCTAAATAACCCATGTAAACAACTATCTGTTTTACTGGATTAAATTTTGATTTGTGTTTATTGAACATTTCAATATTTGCACATCCGCATTAAGATTAAAATGTTGTCACAAGAGGTGTCGTTTGTTTAAAAAAGTCAACATTAATAAGGTTATACAAACGGTCCTGTCAGATTAAGGGTACCATCACCATCACCTTGGTACATGGCAGCCTACTTTTAACCTATCAGAAAACAACCACAACAACAACAAGTCTCAGTCTACCAAACAATCCTTTGTTTTCCTGTCACTACCACATTGCAACTTAAAATTCCGGTAACTTTTCGTCATATGAAGTAATTCTTTTAACGCAGTAAAGTATGCATAAACACAAGGACTTAACAATCACAAGAGTGTTTCATTCGTTATTCAATATCTAAAAACAAAATTTACTTCATCAATATTTCAATCATGTGACAGCCACCAGTTAATAAGCAGGTATGGACCAGCCGTTGGGATACGATGACACGTAGTCAAGCGAGTCACCAGTCGGACCATCCAACCCATTTTACAACAAGCATTGGTTGCTAGGGACCAAACCCGACCCGGAACCGACAAAGGGAGTACATATGTTTAAAAGAGTGGAGATTCTTATTTACCATGACATCAGAGCTCCAGATAAGCTTTTGGTGTTGTGGGTATTTTACCCATGCATTTTAAAATCATTGGGTATCAGTAATTCTACCTGCGTATTCAAATTTTCTGTTACCCACTAGTTTTTACACATGTGGGTATTTAAGTTTAATATTTAAAAACACTATTCATCTAGTCCCTGCAAACTGGTGTCGTGTGGGTTCGAGAGCTTTATAGGACTCAAAAATACCACGATACTTCCACAAGAAAGTGTGATGGCAAATGATCATGATGTAACTGTCATCGTGGAGTTTGGCAAGGTTGACGGAATGCCCCTTTATAATTTCAAAATAAGTTGCTGATTTGCTAATCGAATACGCAGGGTTACTTCACAATATTTTGATGATACGCACAAGTTTTATTTTTGTAGCGTATCTGTAATGTTCGTTGCGTATTTGATACGCTTGGATTATATATAACTGTGTATTTCTGCATTTCTGATGCGTATTTCACGCAGATACGCAGCTTATCTGGAGCTCTGATGACATGTTTATCGGGATTACGGGAGATACATGACAAGGTGTACAACTAGGGTTGACTGATGAGGACATATTTACTATTGCAATTGTCTGTGATGGGCGTTAGTATTGCGATGTTAATATATAATTACAATTGCGATACACTGTAATAGTTGTATGACGAACACCCTTGTCTTCACAAAAATATTCACCATCCCTATAGGTGGCGCAGGTTGCTAGGGAGGTTGTTTGGGAGTGAAGAAGGCAGGGGACAGGAGTGTTGTATATAACATTATTGATATATTCTTATTGAAAAACAAATAGTGCATCCGTTACTACAGGTGAGAAGTGTACGTATCGGTATCTGCCACTACAGATATCGATACTTCTCATAGTCTAGTTAATATCGATGACGACTAATGATATTGCAAATGTCATCGACATATTGCCATCGGACCATGGAAAGCTCGATCAATCGTTTCACCTCTATGTTACTTACCCGAACTGAAAGGCAGCAGGGTGACAAGCACTCTCGAACTTAAACTACACGATGGAAATGTGTGCTGTTGAACACAGTGTAACAATACAGGAGATTACTTTCTCTGAAGATCAGAAAGAAAATTGTTGGAATATTGTCAGTAGAATAAATTGGTTCGCAGAAATAATGATACAGGCACCAAATGTAACACCGGGTATCATCACTGTTCAATAGTGAGTTATAAACATATGCTCTTTATGATACATTCGGAATCGTACAATGGACTGTCAGATTTCTTACGATTTTTGAAAAGGTTTTTGTCACTCTTAGTTTTAACAAATCTCTTAAAGAGAATATGACCATGAACTTTCTACACCATGAATATAAAACGTCAAGGCCAGAGACTAACCAGTCTCCATTATACGACGAAACAGAATCCACTGGGAGTAAAAAGCAAACAATTGATGAAAATTATATGACTGGATGACTGAAAATCAGCGATGAAACCAAGTGTTTGGGAAAACATATGCTTAAGATAATTTCCATAACAAGTACATGGTGCTTAAATGTTAACACATGCATCATAATTACCTGAATCCTTGAATGTTTTCTTCACAAAGTAACGAGTGAACCACCTTCTTGAAAGAATCCGTTTGAAACACAGAAGTCCCGTCACATAAATCCACAGACAAGAAGTTTAAAGTCAAAAGGCGTAAACACAGTCTAAAACCACTCGAGAGAACATCTAAAGCGAAAAGCAGAAATCACTCCGCCGAAGTCTTGGATCGTCAGACGCCTTTGGTAACTCTTCACAAAACTGGATTACCTAACGTCCCCGTTGAAGAGCCCCATCGATGTTTTCTGACTTCCTTTCAAAAGAGTTCTGCTTGTGAGACGCCGCCACCACCTGTAAAACAGAGGAGGAGTGGCATGAACTCTTGGCTTTACTAGATCAAATCCAGGGCCTCGGAAAACATTAAAGTGTGTCACAGGTAACAAAGGCAATCCTTGTTTCAATTCTTGGGAATGGAGACTTGGCGTTGTTTGTCTTTGGGGGTAAACAACGCTGGGGCAACACTGACAAGACAACACAGCGGCTGTTGGAAAAAGGGGGGTAGTAAATAGTCAACACTGCCATGTCGATTCACGTGAAGTATGTGCACCACGCTGCTGACGAATAGCGATGTAATTAGGAAACAATGAACCATTCCGAAGCGATGGAATGACGTTAAGCGGGGAGTTTGTTACTTGGAATTTGCTATGTTGGGGGGAGGGAGGAGGGGGGTAGATTTTAATCTGAAAACATTATTTTAATCTCAAGAGTTCCGTATTGGTTTTTTTGTTATTAACGCGGAACAGGGTTATCCGTGATCTGGTATGTACGCTATACAGTCCTTAGTAGTAGACTTTCCCTTCATGTCGAGAATTCTTCAAGAAGCTCCTGCCAACGATGTCGACATTTGACAACGTTTGACGTATGGATATGTATGATATCCGAAGGCCATACATTTGTATAGCTGAAATAGTACCAAACGCGGCGTAAAACCCTACTCACTCATTAATATGAGGGGACAACGTAGATGTAGATGTGTCACAACTGTGGCGACAAAAGATGCTGACAAACAAAGGTTCTGGTTTTGAGCGAATCCGGGATTCAAACCCGCGAGGAGCGGACCCAATCAGCTAGGGGATGTAACTCACAATGTATTGCGGCGTCCTAGCCCTTTGGGCTACCCTAGGCCACATAATACCTTCCTGGTGAAAACATGACGTATTTATGGACGTCAGCAGGACGACAAGGTAAATTGTCGGATATAGCGAAGTGGAACAGCGTGAAAGATGCGACACACATGAGTCTAATACTGACCCAGATATTGTTCGAGTCAATAGTGAACTACGGTTATGACGAAGTGATATGAAACGTCCCTGTACCTGTCCGGCATGTCTTATACTGTACATATTGGTGTCGTATATGTTGATTTTTCTTATAAAATACACAAACATTTTTCATTTGAAAGTTACAGCAAATCACACATGATTCAAATTTAAACAATATTCCTTGTTGTGTGATTTAAATTGTTTTATTCAAATGAATATTGAGATACATATTTGGCAATTTTATGAAATGTGTGTATTCCAAATCAGGCTTATTTTGAAATAGCATGTATTGTCTTAGAAGAAAAGGGAAATACAAATAACCTTTTGAAAATCTCCATCAGTTGCATAGAAATGTTTCTTTGTGTCGCGATGCATTTTCTTTGGCGAATAAATATTCAAATCACCGCGACCTTAAATTTAGTGACAAACAAGATTTCAAAAAGACAATGCACTTGTTTGTATGAACACCGCTCTAAACATAAAGCCCGGTTGATCCACAGAAATACGAGGCACGCACGGTAATAGATTAGCACTTCCAAAATTGTAAGTTCACACTATCACATACCAGGATCTTATTTTATCCGGGAGCTAAAACGGTAAACACCGTTTAAACCTTGTTGTCCCGACAAAGAGTTGACCATCACGCTTGTCAAACGGTTCAGAATTAGAATATTGAAACAACATCAAGATGAGAAAATGCGAGATTGTTTAAATTGCGAAAAGGCGGGAAACGTGGTAATGAATGCTTCATTGTAGTAAAGATGCGGGACAATAAACTGATACATTTAAACAACGTGTCACTATGGCGACAGAGATGAGGGTATTTGAGGCCATTTAGGGGCCGAGTACTCTGAAGAGGCAAAGACATTGAACGTTCACCTTGTTCAAGGATCTTCAACCTTGGAAATTGTCTCTATAAAATAGCAAACAGTAAATGAATTATTTTATAAAGCGTAAATATTTTAAGTATTCCTGCATGTGAAAATGTGATACATTTATCCGAGGTAGGTTTGATGTATAGCTGCAAAATGTTGAATATTGCTCTCCAGCCCATCCCTACCTCCCATCAAGTAAAACATTGAGTTGACAAATGTTTTCCTCACAATGAGAAACTCGAGTTTCAATGTTTTGAAACGAGGAAATATATACACATATATTAGATATAGATTACACAACTGTCATTTGACAAATGAAAACGTCAAATTATCCGGGGTTTCATTTAATCTTGAATCTCTGTCAGAAGCTAAACTTTGAGACGACACATTATGTTCTTAGAATTATGTAAGCTGACAACTGATTACACCAACTGAAGAAACGAGTCACTTTTGTACACAAACTCGAGGATCAGACACGGGGAAACGAGGAATTCGGTTCAGAGTAACTTGGATCAGATACAGAGAAACTAGCGATTTGGTTCTGAGAAACTAGGCTCAATCCCTGAGAAATGAGCGATTTGGTTCAGAGAAACTAGGCTCAATCACAGAGAAATGAGCGATTTGGTTCAGAGAAACTAGGCTCAATCACTGAGAAATGAGCGATTTGGTTCAGAGAAACTAGGCTCAATCACTGAGAAATGAGCGATTTGGTTCAGAGAAACTAGGCTCAATCACAGAGAAATGAGCGATTTGGTTCAGAGAAACTTGAAAAAGAAACAGAGAAGTTAGGATCAGATACAGATAAACTAGCGACTTGGTTCAGGGATACTTACATCATTTACAAAGGAACTAGGAATAGGTTCAGACAAGCTGGAATCAAGGACAGAGAAGACTGGATCATACGAAGAGAAACTTCCATCAGATACAGAGAAACTAAGGATTAGATATAAGATTAGCTTGGGGGTAGGTACTGATAAACTAGGGGTTATATACAGAAAATGTGATTAACAAAAAATCGGGGGTGTTGAACAGTGCCTGATATAAATTATGAACCTGCATATCCACAAGCCTGTTCACACAAGGTATATTTCGGATACAAACGAATGGAGAAAATAATGATTTTCCATTTGACAGAATATATTTCTTTTTTTCCAAAGTTTGACAAAACCCCTCACAGGACCGTTGCTCAAAGGTGTTTGATCAGGATTACAACTTTCAAGGCCTCAGTAGAGCTTTCAAAATGTTTTATGGTCGACATGTGCAGGGCATTTCCAAACTTGACGCAATAGTGACAAAAAAATATGCATGATGTCATTCTCTAGTCTTACTTGTACATGTGTCCCCGCGTTTGTTTCAGGTGAACAATTGACGTTGCATGTGTTTATGGCGGGTGTCACCGGTGGGCCAGTTTACGCTCGCTGTTTGGCGAACATCTGATGTCACAATTATCTTATAGTGATTCATAAACACATGCTAATGAATGTAGTCGGAATCGTACAATGGACTCTGCTTTTAGCAGAGATATCTTATGATTATGAAAGGGGCGGTGTGGTTGCCTAGTGGTTAAAGCGTTCGCTCGTCACCACGAAGACCCGGGTTCGATTCCCCACATGGGTACAATGTGTGAAACCCATTTCTGCCATTCCCGCCGTGATAGTACCGGCGTAAAACCATACTCACTCACTATAATTATGGAAATGATTTTTGTCGCTTTTACTAACACCTATCGATACTATCGATAGGCATGTACGTGAACGATTGATATCGTAACTTGTCATCGATATATGTTCATCGGGCCATGGAAATATGGGATGCATCTATAGTTGGATCAGTCGTTACAGGCCTGGCAACACGATGCACTCGGAGTAGTTGCAGACAGAGAAACAGATGGACGCAAGTCTACCCCTCTACATTCTATAGTATCATTCGATTTGTCGTTTGTTAGGGATCGGCAATGACGACATAACGATCACTATACTATTTCATTGAAATATGTACATTAGTTTTATAATTATCGTAAGAGGCGACTAACGGGATCGGGTGGTCGGGCTCACGGACTTGGTTGATGCATGTCATCGTATCCCAATTGCGTGGAACGATGATCATGATGTCAATTGCTAGATTGTCTGGTCCATAATCGATTATTTACAGCCGGTCGTCATATAGCTGGAATATTGCTGAATTCGGCGTTAAACAACAAACAAACAAATAATATAATTATATATTTATGTAAAAAAAATGCCCACGATGGAGCTGAGTGTAGTGCGTATGAGTAAATATTGAGTCAATAATGAAAACTAACAAATTTAATTCACTTCACACAATTTTCGATCGAAAGTCTTATTTGCAATACAAATATAGCTTGCACATTTCCGCCTTTGACTTGAATTGAACAAAACAGGACCCAAAGAAGCAAACAAGAACAAATAATCAACTTGTACCGTTTCACGTATCTCTACGAAACATAGTATAATTAGCCATTGTAAACCTTCCCATGTTGTCCAATGTCCCCTAGTTCTCTATAGTTATTCTTTCCAATTGAAAAACGGACCAAACATTTGCCACAGCATCGAGGAAGACACATACTGTCTGGTCCCGGTAGCTTCTTCATTGATGAGTTCAAGTCAACAGCGCCCACACTAGTCACTTACGAACACGTTTACGCAACTACCTCGTTATGTTTCAGTTCACAGAGTTGTGTTTAAGGGAACTGGACTGCCACTTAGCCAGGTCAATACCAATGGCAAAGGCCCGGAAACTGCTGGAGGCAGATGGAACTGCGGAGACTCAAACACTGACTCTGCGGAGAGGTGTGTACTGCAAGGCGCAGTGTTTAAACCCTCGTTTTGTGTGTTTATGTGTACATCTTTTTAAATTTTCAAGCTGCTTTCAAACAGGACATGTGACCTAACTTACGAGAACAATTCCGCAATAAGGCCGTGCTTTCAGAGGTGCTGTGAACCAAAATGGATATTATACATTTATCATACTTTGGAACAATTTTGCTATGGCTTTTCGAAAACCTCAGCTTTTTATGAATCAACAAATTAAGAGACTCTTACAGTTGGTGTTAAAATTCAAATTTCTTATGAAATGGAAAGAAATTCAACCATATTTTATAATACATGTACTGATATATTGTTAAAACAATTAA